AGAACACGATGTTGACAGCTGGATGATGATTTATATATTTTTCAACTTGTTTCTTTTTTTACGGCTGTCATTACAAACTGGAGAAACAAGAAAATGTAGGAAGTCACGTATTGTAATTTTTGAAACAGTACACCTATTTACTAATAAAACTTGACTATTCGAATAAATAACTGAAAATGACTACTACAACAGTTTCGGTCGCATCTTCTGCTCCAACTGCATTGAAACGTTCTCATTTCGATAACCCTCATATATTTGAATTCGAAGAGGGCAATGAATATCTTATAGCGTGGCTTGCTAGTGATGCCGACACCATAGTTCGTAACACCCTTATTTCCCATATTAAGTTTCGTCGTATTGTTGATTATCTGTTCTTGTTCACTGAAATAAATAAATGCGATGATTTTATTAGACAAGTGAAAAATGAAAAGTTATTTATTATAACAGAAACATCATCTGCTACAACTGAAGTTATTGCTCGGATACACGATTACAGACAAGTTTATTCTGTTTTTGTCTACAAACAGAATATTAACGATGCTTACAAAATAGATGAAATGGTACTAAGAAGACACAAAAAGGTAAATCCAAAACTTGGGACTCAGAGGAAATGTTTGAGAGCCTCGAGACATTTTTATAGTCACAGTGTGACTATAATAGGCAGCAGAATTTAAGCCTATGATCAAAATTATAGGTGAATTTGCTTCCAGATCTAAACTATTGGTGTTCGTCCCGTGCATTCTCTCTCTATTCAAGCATTTTTCGGACCCCAATTTTTGACGAGTTTGAACGAAATCTGATACCAGATTGTTAACGACTGTCACTGATAGTCGCTCTTTTACACGAGCTTTAAAACTTTACTCCGTTTTCTAGTTGAAAGGTATTTATGAAGGTCTGGAGAAGATTATTTTGGACTTATTGAAACATCTACGTATGTTTAACCGCCGTATGAATCCTGAATTACTTTTCGTATTCAAATCGATCAAAGAAGAGCGAACAGTACAGAATAGATTAAACACAGAATGGTTTTACTACTTTCTACAAGTTGTAATACATGTGAAACCAATATCAACTAGTAAAGAAACTTTTGTTACTCAATGTAAAGTGTTTTACAAAGATAACACTACAGTATTACAACAGATCAGTGAATTTGAAGAATGGTATGAATCTGCCAATGCAATATTGTGGTATACACGCGATAATTTTCTGTATAGATTACTTAACAAAGCTCTTCGTCAGAAAAATCGTGATTTAATCTGGTTAATGCATTTTTTTATTGTTGATCTATATGAACAACTAAGATCAGATTGCTGCGTACGGTGGTGGAGTAACTGCATAACGGAAGTTTATCGCGGACAGTTAATGACCAAAGAAGAACTAAATTCATTGAAATTTAGTTTACATTGTATATTATCTGTTAATAGTTTCTTTTCTACCACAGTTAAACGTGAGTTAGCATTGATTTTTTCAGGTGCAGGCGCTTCGGGGCATTTACTCGATGATGATCTGCAGCCCGTATTATTTCAAATTTGTTGCAACGGATGGGACTTTGAACAACAGACATTCGCATATATTAAAGACAGAAGTATCAATGAAGACGAAGAAGAGGTAATGTTCGTACCTGGAACGACGTTTTCATTTGAAAAACTATTTTATGATGACAATGAGAAAATTTGGATTGCAAATTTAAGAATTGATACAGTACTAGCCAATCTGAATCTTGGTTTAGATCGACACATATTAAAGTTAGAGACACTATTAGAGCAAAAGCTTATTGGGACAGACAATGATTTTAAGAAGACAAACCTATCTGCCGATGATCACATACCAATAAATGATGAAATGAAGAGTGATTTTCAGTCACTTTTGCATGAACTTTCCTCATTTGACCAACACATGACGCTATGTAAAATAAACTCGGAAGTAACTG